AGAGAGAGAGAGAGAGAGAGAGAGAGAGAGAGAGAGAGAGAGAGAGAGAGAGAGAGAGAGAGAGAGGGACAGCGGGATGAATGCCAGGATGGATGAACGCGCGCACGCACACGGGAGAGAGAGAGCAGAGCAGTGCAGAACAGAACAGAACGGCTGGATGAAGATCAGGAGATCAAGATCGATGCACGCAGGAGAGCGATTCTGAGTGCGGCGAGTGGGGCGTTAACAAGCTCCGACGACTTCGCTGTCTGCTCCTGGACACGGTGCATGACATGACTACCACCCTGACGGCAGGGCTTCAAGAATCACTTACAAGGCGACAATCAACGGGCTGAGCTCGACCGACATTATTGCCTGCTGACATACAATCAACATAGAGTCAAAAGACCAACTGGGGGTCCAGCTCTCTGCCATTTCGCGTGACGGTGCGTTAGTGCCGCTCCTCCTCCCTCCTAGTCGCTCCATCGCTGTATCTTAGCGAAGCTGTGACACCTCCTCCCCATGTCCGTGCGCTCCTACTGCCGTCCACCGGAGTGAGCGGAGGTGGGGCGGAGGGCACCGCCCCCGGACAGGCTTCGCTGAGCATCTGCACGACATGCGGAGTAAGAATCGGCCCATCGATGGCGTGCACGACGAGACCCGAAGCAGTCACGACGTTGGACCCATCCGGTAAGATCTGCGCATCATCCACGAAGATGCCTGTATTTGCGCCAGGGTACCTTGATGCCGCTTGGCGGATAACGACGGCGCTGGAGTCTCCTCCCGCCAACGTGGGCTGCATGAACTTGCCAGTGAACTTGCCAGTGAACTTGCCATTCGGCGACTGGCTGACCTTCGTCGTCTGCGCGTCGATCGGCAGACTCCCGGGAATCGCGTGAGATAGCAAGAAAGCCGACGCAATCTCATTGGATCGAGGTGATTGTCGCAGACATTGTGTAACAGACTCCGGCGCAGCGAGCAGCGATTCGTCGGTGGGTGCGAAGATGGTCACCCCTTCAGGTTTTTTGACGCTGACTCTCCATCGCTTGAAGAGCATCCGGGACGGATCGCAAACTCTCAGCGAAAACACCCAAATCCTTACGTGCCGTGGATCCCTCGATCAAATCAGGAATAGACTGCTGACCCTGTTGCGCCATAACCGGCTGCGCCACCAGCCAGGATGCGGCTAGGAACATCGCGAAGAAGAAGACAGCAGCGAAAGCCATGATCTCTCTATCGCCAACAGAATCACCTTATTACTCGTCGTGGTCTTCGTTCTTCTTCCCCCCTGCCTAACTCTGGTTAGGCTCTAGAGTCTAGACTCTTGCTGGCCCGTCAGCAACCCACGCTGCGATGCTCTCACGGATACTTCTCCGATCCACTCGCCGTGTAAACACCAACCTTACCCCACCCTCAATGGTTAATCTTCTTCTCTGCAAGCCCCCTCTCCGCCTCTTGCTTAATCTCCCTCTCCGTGATTAGTACCTCGGACCCCCTCTCCGTCTCTTGCTTAGTCTCCTTCTCTGCAAGCCCCCTCTCCGCCTCTTCCTCCAATCAAACATGGTAGTCTCTCACTCGTTCAACAAGAAGTTACTCTAGTGTGTCGCCTCCTGCAAATCTCCGACGTATAGACATGCTGCAACGATGTGCTGAGCAGGCCCTTATACAAGATTGGTCTCGTTAGCTGTAAACCAGTATCTCCGCGTTCTAGACGAGTTTAGGGAAAGAGGGTGTCCTGTAGTGGAGCGAGTATCCACAAGTCGTAGATCCACTGCTCAGAGGTCTACATGCATTCGGACGCCTTTCTAGATCAAGTGCCCTCGGAAGAGTCCGAATCGACTGCATAGGAACGATTATGCCCTCTTCAGATCCAGATACATATAGTTTGTCCTGTAGTGAAGCGGGGTCCATGGAATGAACGAATTGGTGTGGCCTTGTTGTAGGGGGGGGGGAGGGGGAGAACAAAAAAGAAGATGCGCAATGCCGGCTGGCGTGATCATCTGCATCTGGAAAAAACAGGAAAAGAGAGTCATGACCGAACCGAAGAGAACGCGGGTGTCCTTTTTTTTTCTTTTTCAGCGGCGGCGGCTTCGAGATATCATCATCGAACTGACCAGCCCTCCCTTCCCCCGAATACAACGTACGGTGCACCTTTCAGTCTCGTTACAGCCATAATGACCGCACGTTGTATTCGGGGGAAGAAGGTACGTAATTCAGAACTGTAATATTTTACTCATCTGCTTCCGGTGGAGTTCGAACTCAGCACTTGGTCGGTATTTCAACAGCTCGGTCAGGGGTGTACCAACTGCGCTTGGCCAGTTGGTACGCGGGTCTAGTCTGGCATTTTCCTTTTTCCTTCTTCTTTTCCCACTCTTTGGCCTCACGACACCCCTCCCTTCCACCTCCGGATATTCCCTGGTGAACCCCCACCTCCACCTATCCTTCCTTACTCGAGGACCATCACTCTCTATGGGAGCAACCTGACCCGGCAGGGGTCAGGGGCGCAAGTGCTGAACAGGAACCCCTTCCACCCCTGGTTGGTGCACGGTCGCACGTGCTACGGCTACCTCGGGAGGATTCGAAGCTAAGGTCTTCACCCTAATAGAACGCCTGGTCGTCTTTGCTGCATCTGGACCGAAAAATGCCCCAAATTCAGCTACCAGGACCAGGCGTTATATTGGGGTGAAGACGGTGGTTGTGAATCTATTACCACAGCCCGTGTGAGTAGCCCCCGTAGAGCGCCCATCTCAAAACATGGGTCTGTGCCTAGAGTTCCCTGCTTGGATATTGTGGGGTATGGAGTGGGGGGGGGGGGTCGAAGGCAAAAAACGGGTTGTTGACCGTTGGTATCATGGGTATTTGACGTGACTCGTGTGAAACTTTAAAGGACGTAGCCTCTAGCTAGCCTTGTTTTTTTCTTAGGCCTTCTAGAAATTTCTTGTACGTAGGTCCGAGCCTTTTTTGGGCGTTGTCTTCGGCCGAAGCTGAACTGAACACTATAAGAAGTCAGTGAACTATCCTTTCGTTACAACTTCTAAAGACCCCTGATGAGCGCGGTTTGGCGGCCGTGCGAAACCGGTCGGGTCAACGCCAAGCGTTTTATCGTTATGTTCTCCACGTTTATCTTTAATGGAGGTTGCGTTCGGGTTTTTTACGGACTTTCATGTGTTCAGCTCTTTCTCCTCCTCCTCCTCTTCTTCTTTTCTTCCCACTTCTCTCCTCTGACGTGAGTGCCGCTGGACTTGTTTTTTGACTTTGTTCATTCGCTAATTTCGTGAAACGTTGCTATTGTGACTTTCACTCACGGAGTAACCTACGTAGAGGTTGTACTACGTCTAGCGTGGCTTCGACACTTCAAGATGGCTACACAGGCGAATGTGCGATATACCGAGAACCGGTCTTGCTACAATTGTGGACAGCAGGGGCATATCTCTAGATTCTGCCCTCTTCCGGACAAACGGCTCAACAGCGGACAAGCGAGCACAAGTATGGCGATTGTTCCGGCTCAGCCTTTGATGACGGCGCCTATCAGTTCGAATGGAGTGAGCATTGTAGCTCCTCATCAGAATGTTTTTTCTTCTGGCTACTCCAACGACAAGACATGCCTTCGTAATAGAGTTGCTACTTTGGAGGAGATAGTAGGGAAGATCAAGAGCAAGCATGATGCAGACGAGGCGAAGGAACTAGCGACTAAGCACGAGATTGAACGAAGGAACAAAGAAAAAGACGAAGAGGAGAGAAGGCTTAAGGATAAGCAAGAACGTGAAGAACAACATCTGAGACTTAGTCAAGAGCTGGGAAAGCAGTGGGGAAAGATTTGTGAGAAGATTGAAAAGAGAGACAAGGATGCGAATGAACTGGCCAAGTTACGTGAAGATGTTGCACGACTGTCACGAACTAAGGAGGATGTTACCCCATCACAGCCTACAGCTGCTAAAGTTGACATCGTTGACGTACTCAGGAGGGAGCAAGACGAAATTCGAGCAGCAGTCGATCGAAGATTTGCTATGATGGAGGAGAGGATTAACCATTTGATCAAGGGAAAAGAAGCAGCTGAAGCGGATGTCGAGTTGTGGAAAGCGGAGGCGCTCCGATCTAGCAACAAGAGGGGAAGCATCGCTATTGAGACCCCTACTTCGAATGCTAGGGCGCATCTGAGAAGTACTCCTAGTCGGGAGGGAGCAGTTGTTGGACCAGTCAGTGCGAGAACTGAGAAAGGAATCAACCCTTCCTTGAAGGGTATTGTCGATCAACATAACATGAAAGTTAACTTGCTGAAGGAGATGCGAATGAAGGATGTGAACGGACGAATGGAAGCTGAGAAAGAAGTTGAGAAATTAAAGGCTGAAATGGCTCGTTTGGAGATAAGCAGGAGGCAGAAGGGAACTAATCTTAAAACCAGGTTAGACAAAGCTGCTGGGGCATCCACTTACAAACCACCTTGTCCACCCTGTTCGTCCTCCAAGAAGAAGGCAGCCACTTCGAGCGCCGATTGAAATGACAGGGAAGCGTTACTTCTGATCGAGAAGAAGAACCTCCGACGAAAAACAAAGAAGAGATTCAGGAGATATGTCGTGATGAGGGGGTACCTTACACCACTCTGGAACCTACCAAGGAGATGATTGTCGTTCGACGTGTTGAGAAAGCCATCAATATGGACGAGCGAAACAAAGGTAAGCAGAAGTTAGACGATGTGGTTGACGTGTCCGCTGACGAAACTGATGTCGGGGAAAAGGATGTTGACGATGACCCTGTGGTTTCCTGAGATCTATCCCGAGCGCAACTGAACTCCGGGCTTCGATTAGATATCTATGTCGATTAAGATCCTCCTCGAACCGTTTATTACGCTGTAGACTAATCAATCGTTTGTTGACTTTGACGGTTTGCTTATTGCTGTTGACGGGTTATCTTCCCTGGGGAAAGCATCTGAGTCCCTTTGTATCTCGTTTTCTTGATATTGACGACAGCATTTGTGGTAAGTGGAAAGGTCCTCTCGTCTATGTCATTTTTTCTCCATGGTGCAAACACGCTTATGTTGGGAGCACTACTAGGGATCTTCATACTAGATGGGCCGAGCATGTTTATCGAGCTACGCAAGGGAATTTGGGGAAAAAGGAGAAGCGTAATGAGAGGTTATATTGGTGGCTGCGACGGAGGGGAGTTGACGATTATGTCGCTATTTCTGTGTTTTTATGTTCTGAAGATGAGGTTCTGGACATGGAAAATTTTTTTATTAGATTATTGTGTCCTGCGCTCAACAGTCGGGATAAACCACGAAGAGGGAATAAATCACGACCAGGGAAACAAGAAAGGACGAGGAGGTGTAAACGGTCTGAGGATAATAATGGGAAAAAGGTGATCCCCCTTAATGGAGTGAATTAGGATTTGATTCGTTTTCGATCGTGTTTTGGGATGGAGTCCAGGAGTCTGTTGAGTATTCCTTAATGAATGTAAACGTAGGAATATTTACCGCACTCGTATTCTCTATTTAGGTGGGGATCTGCTTGTTGAAAAATGGAAGGTTGTTAGGAGGATGCCTGGTCTCTTGTTGTTTTGGACGTATGGAACTGCGTTTCGCCAGAGGATGGATTAAAGGAGGTATTTTATTGGATGTTGAACGTGTCGTCCCTTCTCTGTAGATCATTGGTTTTCAAAGGACCTCTTGCGAATCTGCTTAGCGACCCTAGTAGTAGGAGGGAACTCTACACTTGGGATTTTGATACTTTGTGTTTTGCTTATAACGCTGTTAGGACCTTCTCGGATAAAAGATCTCGCTCTCAACTTCGGTATGTTTTATCGGCTGTTATTCAGAAACGTTTTGGAATTGGGGTTAGGAAGCGATTGGTTATTCGGATTCGTTTTGATGATTCCCTGTGTAAAAGTCGGGTCCGCAGTATGGTTGCTCGGATTGTTGCTAATATGGACATTGGATTCGCTTGGCGGATGATGCTCATTCGAAGATTGCGTGTTGTTTGGACTCACAACAAGACGGTTGGACAACTTATCCATAATTTTCGTCAATTTCGCGTAGTAATTGCCTGACTTGTTTCTGCGCTGGTTGTGACGAAGGGTTCCCACGGATTGAGGGACATGTTTCTTTTCGATTGAATGAACTCAGTGTTGCACCTTCTTGGATTAAGAATTCTCGCAATATAGTTAGGCCCTCTCGATCGAATGGAGTTAGAGATTTACAACAACAGGTGTTGCGATCGTTTTCAGAGTTTTCTTGTCTCCCTCCCGCCCTTTCCGATTCCCTCGGTATTGACGATCCCAGAGGCTTCTTCATTCGAAGGGTGGACTCGTCGGCTGAACCAACGTTAGTTACGGAAGAAGATGTTTTTGGGTTCTCTGAACGATTTCGAGGTTTGGTTTGTACCCCGATTGACCACAATGGGGGCGATACTGTGATCTGTTGTCCGGCTATCTTTAAGGAAGGACTTAGCAAATTGTTTTTGGGTAATCCCTCTTTTGAGAAGGTTGATGCTGATGAGTTTTCTCTTTTACGGGAATGTCCGAAGGTCTATGATAAACTTGGACTGGGGAAGATTGGACGCTGGAACACTAAGGGTTCTCTTGGGCGGGCCTACGGTATTCCCAAACACAAAGATGTTTGTCGTTGGAGACCCATCTGCCCCTCCTTTCCTGAATGCTCTACGACTGGCGGTAAGGCGGTCTCACGGGCTGTTAATTCCTTGTTGTGGAATCTGCCATCTGGTAGGAATTTGAATTTGGGAAGTGCTGATGATTTGGTCAAGACCATTAGAGGCATTAACAAGAAGATCGGTGCTAACGAACGACTGATTGGTGTCTCCTTCGATGTGAAGGATATGTTTTTTAACTTGCCGCACAATTCGATTTTGGATGCTTTGACCTGGGTAATTGACCTTTGGAGTTACAAGGAAGTTAGAGGGGTTGCTTTACGTAAATTTGGTAAAGAAGCGAAGTTAGTTTCAGAAAGAACTGAAGTGGGATGGAAGTTTCTTTCTCTTGATTCAATTTTCCAATTGGTTAGGTTTGAGTTAGAACATACATATATCACTGTCACGAATAGTTCCCTTCGGCAAACCATTGGCATTCCTATGGGTAAGTCCTCTAGCCCTGCCTTAGCATGTCTGCTATGCGCCTATAATGAATTTTGCTTTCTTTCAACCCTAGGCGCGGATAGAGTCTTATTTTCAGGTTTCAGGCTCATTGATGACGTCTTCGTTTTCGTACGTTGTAAAAAGGATGGTTTTAGCTCCTTGCTCATGGGGAAGAAGTTGATTGAGAGATTTGCTGAGTGTTACGATAATAACCTAACGTTGGAAAGGACAAGTATTGGATGTTCCTCGGACTACTTAGGCTGTGAATTAAGGATAGTACAAGAAGAGGTTGGGATTATGTGCTGCCCTGTGATGAAGAATCAGCATACAGATTGTCGTGATGGCCTTACCTTTCAGTGCCTTCATGATTACGAGTCTTTCTCCAGTCGACAACAAAAACTGGTCGTGATTGGGTCTTTCTTGCACCGGGCCCTGAATTTTACTACCATCGAGGGTATGGAGTTGAGGTTTCTGCTGGCCCTTCAATATGAGTTATGTATGAGGGGGTATCCTGATGAGTTGTTTGAAACGGCTTTGGTGAGCTTTTCTCGTTAGCTTGAAGAGATATGGCGGGAATGGTTTCCCTTTTTGATCGGCCGGAAGGGTTTTTGAAGTCGGGTCCGTTGATAGGACCACGGAATGAGATTGGATGAGGTTTTTTGTTGGGTTTTCTCTGCTTAGAATTGACTCGGGTGATCGATGATGGGAAGGCTAATGATGAAGTAGCTTTTCTGTTTTTTTTGGAAAAAAGATGTGAGGTGCGAATAGGGTGACTCTGATGCCGGGTTTAATGGGTACCGGACGCGACTTGCTCGGAACTTAAGGAGTATAGGTTTTGTTAAATTTTGTTCAAATGGAATTTGATATTGTGGGGTATGGACTGGGGGGGGGGGGTTCGAAGGCAAAAAAGGGGTTGTTGACGGTTGGTATCATGGGTATTCGACGTGACTCGTGTGAAACTTTAAAGGACGTAGCCTCTAGCTAGCCTTGTTTTTTTCTTAGGCCTTCTAGAAATTTCTTGTACGTAGGTCCGAGCCTTTTTTGGGCCTTGTCTTCGGCTGAAGCTGAACTGAACACTATAAGAAGTCAGTGAACTATCATTTCGTTACGACTTCTAAAGACCCCTGATGAGCGCGGTTTGGCGGCCGCGCGAAACCGGTCGGGTCAACGCCAAGCGTTTTATCGCTATGTTCTCCACGTTTATCTTTAATGGAGGTTGTGTTCGGGTTTTTTATGGACTTTCATGTGTTCAACTCTTTCTCCTCCTCCTCCTCTTCTTCTTTTCTTCTCACTTCTCTCCTCTAACGTGAGTGTCGCTGGACTTGTTTTTTGACTTTGTTCATTCGCTAATTTTGTGAAATGTTGCTATTGTGACAATATCTAAGACTATTGACGACTACTGGTCGCGGCGGCCAGCCGAAACAGTTAGAGTCCTTCGCTGTAATGTTCCACCGTGGTTCAGTCTATTTTATTATTATTATTATTATTATTTTTTAAAAGGCTAATTCTTTAAGCCCAACCAATTCAATTATCTGTCAAATCTGGACAGGACGGCCTTTCAGGCCTTTTTTATTGTCATTATTGTATTACGGGAAACCCCGTAGCAGCCACATTCGTGCTCAAGCCTCCAACGAGGGAACATGCGGGAGCTGCACCCACTAGCAGGTGCGATACCTGCTACAGCAGGTGGGCGAAACCGGCCAGGGGTCAGCCGGTAGCATCAGGACCGAGCTTCTTCGATGGGCCAGTCACTGTGCCACCCCTTCCGTCCCCTCCCCCTATGAACATCAGCAGTCTCTGCTCAATGCCACTCGGGGGGACCAACGACATATCTAAGTGTTTTTTTTTGTTTTTTTGTTTTTTTTTTTGCTATAATCTATTCGTGGGGAGCAGCACGGGATGAGAACCGGCCCAGCGTCCCTTATAACGGAAATACATTGATGATTGATGATCATTGATGGTAATTTGAGATGATTGAGGATCATTCAGGATGATTTGGGATGATTTAGGATGATGGAGTGGATGATTGAGGTCATGAAGTAGATATAGATGATGACTAATCAGAATGATTGTCTAGTCAACACTCAAATACTATCCTATCCCTAATTTCCTGTATCCACTCCACCCAACCAATCACAATTGAGCCTGTGTTGTGCACCAATCAGGCCTCTTCCCGGTCTCACACCCCAATCTGGCTCGGTTACAGGGCAGCGCTACCCACCCCGTCTCCGACCATCGTCTGCCAGATTGTAGCCATTAGTCAAGTTTGCAGATTGCCTTCCTCCCTCCGCAATCCCACACCTCTATACAAAGCCTCAAGCTCCTACTCTAGCAGGTTACAGGGCACTGCCCCAACGCCGGCCAGCGTCATTCTGGCGCCAACTCAACCTGGCCATTACACAAAAAGTCTCAATTAGGAAATTAGCCAAGCTAGAATGCCAACTAGAAATCTAGGATCTGATAATATTAGAATCCTGAGATGATCACAAAAATTATGCATAATGATGAGGATGCTGATGACTATTCCTCACCACCCTCCCTCTTCCTCGATGTACTCTCCTCCTCTCCCCTCTTTTCCGCTTCTCCTCTCGCTGCATCCGCTGA